GTCTGTGGTGTGGTGGGAGCTGAAGCCCCTTGGAGGTGTCAGGAAGGCCGCAGCTCCCTGTCCTGCCTGGGCAGGGAGTGCTCGCTCTCCTGTGTGGGAAAACTGGGCTCAGCTGCTGCTGCGAGGGGCTGCCAGGTGTTGGCTCTGCTGCTTCGGGGGTGCTGACTGAAGCAAGCTGAGCTGGAGAATACTTCATAGCTCAGCTAAAACTTCTCTTTTACCCTACTAACTGAGTAAGCAGTGCTGTTGGAGTAAGGGAGGGGGGGTGGGTGGGCATACCTTATCCTGGGCCAGCTGAGACCACAAGCCAAGTCATCTTTAAGTAGTTGTGGATTTTTTTTCCCCCAAAGATGCTTAGTCCCTTAATTTGTTTGCATGTGATAAAGAACCCCCCTGGAATCGCAGTCATCTGTGCAAAACCACACTTCAGCAGTTGTCTGAGTTTGTGGACGTTACAGTCTTACCGCTAACCATCACTGATTTGTACGCTTGCTTTTTAATAGAGGAAACTAATTGCCTCTAAAAATAGCTTTGGAGAAAAACTTCCAAGAGGAATTACTAGATGTAAATCACAGTCGTTAAGTAACTGCATCTCCACGTTGCACTTAAAACACATCTGAAATTGATACTTCACTCTTTTCTGCAGAGAGAAAAAGAAAGAATTGGAACGTGAAGAGCTGTGGAGAAAGCTGGAGGAGTTAAAGCTTAAGAAGGCCATGGCAGAAAAGCAGAACAGCACTCACAATGTGCTAAATGCACACAATACAAGTGCCAAATAAAAGAAAACGACCACCTTGCCTCGGCAGAGGTACTTTTTTTGTACCCTTTTGAGATATATAAGGATTTGCAAAAGAAACCTCATCAGTATAATAGAAACAGCCAATTTTTTTCTCTGGCAGATGTAAAGATATGAATTTAAATACAGCAGTTAAGTGATGTCATTACCACACCATATTGTAAATTTGTCTAATTATTGATATACTGTCACTTCCAATGTTTCATAGAACTGAATTATCATCCTTAATGAGTGAAATAATTACGGGAGTGGTGAGAATTATGACTTGAATTTTTGATTGTGTTGCACATAGGTGGTATAGTTTGCTATGTACATTTTTTCCTTGTTTTATATGTGCTTTTCACATCGCTGCATACTTTGGTTGAGATTATAGAAAAGGCTTCTAGTTGTGCTGTATTTTCTCAAATAAAACCAAGGTACGTTATCAGTAAACCAGTAACTTGAGGTATTCAGTACATGCCCCTTACAGCACTGGAAGGAACTCAGATATGGTGCTGTCTTGAATTCCTGATTGGATTCAGATTTAAATTCATGTAATGCTCACATTAGAATGAGGCAACGTGGAGAGCGAAAGTCAGCTTGAACAGCTTGGGGTGGTCCATGTGTTGGACCTTCCACTTGGTGAGTGCCTCAACCCTGTTCTTCCTGCCTCTTGATCCTGGGCTAATTAGCGATTTCCTCCTGCTACAAGCTGAGGATGGAGCTTCCTCTAGAGAGCCCATCGATGATGCTCCTCATCAGCCCAAGGACTCCCTGCAGAGTAATGCAGATCTCTTAGAGACTATCATCATCCTGGATGTTGCTGCATTACTTCTAGCATCTCATAGGCTAAAGAATGAGACCAAAATTGAGATTTTTTTTTTTTTTTTCAGTAAGGAGGGAAGGATATAAATAAATAGTTCCTTGTTTTATTTAAAGAAAATGCAGTCTGTTTCTCAAAGGTGGAAAGTTGACAATAGAAGTCTTGTGTGTTTACTTGATCAAGTATTTTTCACATCTTTTATCAGAGTACCATTCCAATCTCTTAAACTGCAGTTGTGTGGAAAACTTTTGTAATGAAAGATCTTTGGGGAATTGAGCAGCATTCAATAAAGTCTTTATGTTTGTATTTAGTGCTGTATATCACACCTTTGTTTATAAAGACCAGGAGAATGAGCACGGCTTCATGAACAACCTTCTAACTGCATGTACATCTGAATAACCTGTGGTGCTTCACTGAGAGGCAGAAGTGTTGGGGGTGCAGGTGACTGGGGTTTTGTTTCCGTGAGCGGGGTGGAAGGCTTTGTTCTGCTGTCTTCAGTACAGAGCAGGTGGTGGTCACAACAGCCGAGGCAGGTGTCCTGGGCTTGTTTTACCTCTTACTTGGCTGGTTTACTGACTTTATTTAAGCAGTTTCCAGGGAGAAAAAGTCTCTGGTACACTGTTTGAGTTGACTTTATTATGCTTTTTATTGTTACTTCATTTTTTGTCTCGAGTAGTTGTGTTTCTCAGAGGAAATGGGAATAACACTGCCTGAAGTGGCTTACACTTCCAATAGCTCCATCTGATCAAAACCAATTAGTTGCTACTCTCTACATGTCAGCTTTATATATAAAAGACTGATAATCAGCTGACCAGCCTCGACTCTGCCATGGTTAAGTGGCTGCCCAAAATGTGGGAGGGGGAAAGATCCTTCACTTTCCATGGTGCTCCTTGAAGTCCTGAAACCAGATGTTAAACACTGTGGGTCCTGCAAGGGTGTGCTTTGCCAGCTCAGGAGGGAGATGACAGTCATGCAGACACAGTTTTCCTCAGTTTAGTATTTTAGTGCCTTTATTCCATAGAAGACTAAAACTTCCAATTGGAGATACAAAATATTTTCAGCTGTTCTACAGTCTAAAGGAAATAAATTATACAGACATGGGGGAATCTAACACTTACCTTGCAGTGGTACAAAGAACAAGTTACTGGCATTTGTAGTTGTTAGGAGTTATTGAAAAATTTACAGATATGAACATCAAGAATAAGTACTAGAAAAACAACACTGTAGCTATATGAGGCCATTTCAAACAAATTGTGCAACACTTTCTACGAGAATCACTCCTATAAATAGGTATAGCAAAGAAAGTTTTCTTGGCTGGAATCAGCTGGCCTGTTCCAGTAACAACATTTCCTTAATAAAACAAAAAATTCTGATAGCTGAGAGAGTGACTGAAGTTGACTACTATGGGAGTTTATTTTGTAAAAAGTACATTAAATACTGCAGAAAGGAGTGCATCCTTTAGTTAACTGCACCCCCTACTTGGCCCACAGCTGGGGCTAAGCTGTCTTCCAGCTTACCTTCTCTGGCCTCACTAGCAGAAGAAAAAAAAAAACAAAACAAAACAACAAAAAATGCAGTAGGATTCATCAGTACCTGATCAAATTGTTGTTTCTAAATATTTCTGTAAAATCCAAGAGCGAGCTGCTGTAATATCATTTGTTAAAGGAACACTTGGGTGTTTCTTTGACAGGGAGGAGTTAAGAAAGCTCAGCTGCCTCTTATACCTGTAGAACAGGCCCTCAGCACAGTATATTTGGTAAAGCAAAGGGCTGCTTATAAGCTGACCAGGGAAGTCAGTTGGAACGCTTTCCTAACAGGGTAAGCTGTTACGTAGCAAAATCAACAGTGTTTTTCCTGATATGGATGGTCTAAGTGTGGGGATTTTTTTGTGTGTGTGTGTTTTGGTTTTCTTTTTCCTTATCCTCTCCCTATTCCCCCTGCAAGTTTTTGTCCCATTCCCCACCACCCCAGCACCTAGGGCTGAAGTAGCTCTCAAACAGTGCAGTGTTTGCTGCTCCCCTCTCCCCTCTAGTTTAACCTTGTTCACTTGATACGCACTGTGCTAACCTACATCACCCGAGGCAGGTACAGTGTGGGCTCCTCTGGCCCTGGTGTAAGAGCCATCATTGCAAGGTACTGAACACCACCACCTTTCCCAGAAGAGCATGATCAAGTTGGCTCAGACTATACCATTCAAATTATGAACTGTCTGAAGCACCAACACAGGACCTGGGGAAGAGGCAAGAGCAGTAACTGCAAGTGACTGGCACACTGTAACCTCCTCCTGCCCTCACTTGTCTTGGATACAGGAGAACCCAAGTGCTGCCTGCAGCCAGTGCTGCTCTTCTGTTTTTACTACAGTGCATTGTTGCTCCTTTGTTTAAGGCTGTGTTTGGTCAATGCAGTGCCTTGATTTGCTCAGGAAATTAACTGAAAGTAGTAAATTTTGTTCCCAAATGCTTCCTTAGAAGGCAAAAAAAAAAAAGAGGTACTTTTGATATGCTTACTACTATATTACTCTGTTAGTAGAGGATGGAAAAAGCAAAATGTGACTTGACATGCTCCTCTCCTTGCAACAAAGCCTTCAGAGCAAACACACAGTGGTACACTGCTACCCTGTAGACTCGACCAGTCCGAGTTAGGCATCTAGACTAATAAGGGACTTATAAGGAAGAAAACGCCTACACCACCCAGCCGCTAGTTAGCATGTGTTGTCTGTATAGTAGAGAATCACATTTAACTGCCAGGCTGATGAAAGACTTTTTTTACTTCCTTCACAAAGACTAGGAGAAAGAGAGATGAGCAATAGCCTGAGACAGACCTTGAAATCTTATCATCAGCTTGGACGCCCAGGTGTTGAGTTGCTTGAATTTACTGTGAGTTGGACTGATCAGGAATAGAATTTTGTTTTTTCACCTTACCCTCTTGCACTAATATTCCTGCCTGAACTACCTCCAGTAAGGCTCCAGCTGAATCTGAGAGCAAGTAGTTTCAAGAAATACTTCAAATAAGATATTGTGTACTTTCTTTAAAGTCACTATACTTTCAATCAAAAATGACACATCATAAAATTCCAGTGTATTTTGTTTTAACACATACTTTAGAGAGGGGAGGCCAGACTGGTCTGTTGAGTGCTTTACCTTCCACTAAACCCAGTCAAGGAAGTGACTGCGTTACAGTAGCAGATGCTGGTCACAGCTCCTGCAGAAGTTAAATGGTCTCCTGTTCTGAGAAGCATTCAAACACTGTCTGTTTTTTTTAGAACTTAACCACTACAGTGCTGACTTTCTGAACATCAGTGACTTCTCTCCTTTTCCCCCCATACACTGAGGTAAGCTTGTTAAATTTGGAGTAGAAAAGCATGAGTTCGTTAGACTTGTCCTAGAGTTAGCTCCTTTCCGAAGTTCAAAGGCCAGTTCACCAGGCTGTTCCTCCAGTCATCGTTTTTCTGCAAGAAAACATACCTGCTTTGCATCTTTAAGTGCTGTATTGCTGATGGAAGTTTATTCCAGTTATTTTCTATCCCTTTTGCAATGAATGGTTAAAAAGTCAGCCTTAGTCTCAGCTTATGTGGTTCATTACTTGACGACTCCTCTTCAGATGTCTCTTTCGGATTTTGATCATCCACTTCACACTTAACTTAGCAAAGTCTGCTGCCTTAAACAGAGCCAAAAAGATACCACAAAGAAGAGCAATCATGTTCCAGGGATTTGCTGTGATAATCTGAAAGAAATTAAAAATATTATTCTCGTCATCTGACTCAGTTTATATGATTCTTACTCAAAACCAAATTCTTCCATTTTTTGAACTGAAGTGTTTTGCAGTACATTCATTTACGCTGCAAAGGTGGCCTGTAGTGCCTTCTCTATACCAGGGTTTTCTGATTCCTTCCATCAGGAAGAAAACACTGTGAGCTGCTAAATTCCTTTTAGACTATTTCAAGATACTGAATTGTTTAAAATTTGAGAGATACAGTTAGATTGCTAATTTTAAGATTATACATTAAATTTACTCTATTATTTAAAGATTAACAAAAATAAGCAGTCACATTAAAGAAGATCTTCCAGAAGACAAAGCTAAAAGAAGCAGCTACTGGAAAGCTTTAACAAGACAGCATTGTAATGCTAAACCAGCTTTTGACAGCGGCAACTGTTTCTGCAGACCTACAGCATGTATTCTATATTTCTATTTTTAACTGTAGTAAAGTTTAGTAGTAGTAAAGTTTATTTATAGCTTGCAATTCTCCTTGCACCTCTAGGCATGAGGATGACTTCTAGGATCTCAGAGAAAGCAAGCAGAGTTAGGCTTAGGCAGCAATAAAGTAGCACACAGTGGTGAGAGTCACCATGGAGTCCGCAACTCTTGACAGTCAGCACCTCTTGACAGTCAGCACGAGCACAGCATCACTAGGTCACTACCTGAGCCAGGTGGTCTCCAGCTGGTGGCTTTCTGTATTTGTTAATCTTCCTGAAAGCAGCAGCACTGGCTGCCAGTGCTTGTGAACTGTGGCCTCTTCAGCAAGAGGAAACGAGCACCCCCAATCCACTAGATCAAGGGCAGCTTTTCCACTCGAAGGCAGCAGAGGTGTGAAGCCCATGTGGCAGAGAAGAGCAAGAGGTACCAGGGGCAAGACCGGGCTCTTGAGGCCAAGGAGGGGCCTGGCCCCAGCACAGACATGACAGCAGGAGGGCAAAGGACCAACTACCAACATCTCCAGCACAGAGTCTGCGTTCACACTCTGGTTTTGGGCAAGAAAACAAGAACGCTGTGGATTTTGCTGGTGAGGGGCTTTGGCTGTCAGGCAGGGCCACTTTAAATGCAAAATTTTAAACAGATTGTCTCTGCACGCTTTGCCATTCTGTGTTTTTCTGGGAAAGGCAACTGTATCTGACCTTCTCCCTTTTAACACTAGGCAAACAGGATCTAACTCACACACTTAAAGCACCTGTACCCACAGTGCACACCTACACCCCTTTAAGCACTCCAGTGTCTGATAGTGGTCTTGCCTGGCACGTCACATGCTTCTGGCTGCAGCGTGTGGAGCTAAATTTAAAAGTGCTTTTTCTGCGTTTGAATGCAGTACCAAATTCTAAAGTCATTAAATCAGTTTATCCAAGCACACTTATTTAGCAAAAAGTTCAGACTTGACCTGAAGCTACACTTTGCTAGAGCACAAGGGACACATGCTTTTTCTTAGCTGCGTGTACCTCTAGCTGCAAACAGAATGCTGAGCGTCACCAAGCGAAGGGAAAGGCATCTTGACCTCTGCAGAGTTGTGCATTACTGGATAGAAGGAAGAGCCTAGACTGAAGTTTCAGAAGCAACCTCACTCTTCCTCTGAATTTCTGCTTGGAGTGAGGTAACAGAGGCATGTGCGCACACACACCCCATGAGCACGTACAGTCAGACAACGACTCAAAAAGGGACTAGTGTTACTCACATCTTGGACGGTCTGTATAAAGGGATCTTTCCATTCAAATACCACAAAAAACAGCTGGTCACTTCTTGGTTTAGTTCTCTGGTCAATATAGTTCACCACACTAGTCTGGAGAGAGGGGAAAAAAAAGGTGTTACTTTATTCAGTGGTATCATGAGTCTTCTGTGCAACAAAAGAAGTTTGTATGAAGGTGAAAACAGCAGACTGTTTCAGGACTTCTACTTCAGCCTTCCTCTAGCTGGAACAATAAGCTCCCAAAACACGGAAAGGGCAGTTTCTCCATCTGTCTCATGTTCATTCTTTTCCTGTTTCTCACTCAGTAAAACACTGCAATACCATTTCACACTGGTAGCCAGGGCCTTTATTTTATTATCTAATAATTTCATATACAAAATTTTTTTACTTGGAATAAGACAGCATTTGGGAAGTTGTAATGAGTGAATGCCAAATTACTTTTATTTACCAGAGAACTACATGATGGCGGCAGGAAAACTTTTTTTTCTTGAAAAATCAGTTGCAGAATAAACTAGAAGACGCCAGCAAGTGCAGAATGGAAATGGAAGGGAAAGAAGCCTAGATCTTAACAATTAAAACCATACTTCCCAGTACTGCCCATTAACTAGGTTACCATATGAAACTAGCACTGACTGGCAGAGAGCTTTAGCACAATTCCATCAGGGTACCGTTTAGGACATCGGATTGACGTTACAGCCACATGCAAACCACAATCAGCAAAGTAAGACATCAGGCCTTGGAAGAACATTTCTATTGCCTTGTAACACACTCCCCAGCCCAGAGGGGAGCTACATGGGGTTTGTACACAGGCAACAACAAACACCACAGTTCGCACTGACCTCACCACTAGGAGATGATATAAATCGCTCACGAGCCAGGCAGCTACCTAACAGGAAAGCACAAGGGAGTTACAGCTGAACTTCTCCCTTCTCCAGCCCTCAAAGGAGTGTGTACGTCTTGGTGTGTGCACAAGGGAGTACTGCTGCTCTTCCCACATTAATACTGTACTGGAAGTAACAAATCCAGCAGCACTGTAAATTCATTTCAGGATTGTGACAGGAACTATAGACAAGAAAACAGGGATTCAGCAGACATTATAGGAGGGAGGACCTACTACAAAAACCTCTTGTCTTACCATGGCTTAGTTTCTTTACAAATACTTCAAGATTTTGATCTGTCTTCTCTACGCACCTTGCCCTGACCAGATTTTAGGCTGCGCTCACGTAGAAGTGGGATCTACAACACTGTGTGTCCACTCAGAGCACACGGGAGTTTCACCACCTCGTGTTTTCTGGGCAAACACCTTTGCTGCAGATGTACCCTGTACTTCCACAGCTCATTCCATTCTTGCAGCGTACCATCACCCCAAATATACTCACTGGAGAAAACTGCACACCAGGAAACAAACAGTACACAAAGCTAAAGGAAGGCAAGGCGAAAGGAAGAAAAGGTGAAGCAGTGACTACTGGGCTAGTTAGCAGACGGACTGACTGTGCTACTTGACCTAGTATTTGTATCCATCTTTCCGGTATGCTGTCTCCCAGTTTTAGATTTGAAAGGCTAATGGACTTCCTTACGCAATCTGGGCAGACGTCATACTGTCAGACAAAGCAAGTACAATTTATGTCTGAGCTATTTCAACTTCTGTTGCATTATTAACAGGGATCTGAAACAAAATCCACATTTGTACCGACTCCTATTTCCTAGGTTTTATCAAAAACAAATCCACAAAACAAAAAACAACCCTACAGTGTTCACCTACCCAGATGACTGGGGAGTCCGTAACTGCTGGACTACATAGATGTTTATGGTCACAAAAAGCTCAGCTTTTTCTGAGTTTGAGTCAGCCTTTTGTTTCCACTTTGTGACATGTTAGACTTGGGGACACACAGGAGGACTTTCAAAAATCCTGCACTAGCTGAGTGCCAAATGGCAAGTGATACGGAGCTGTAGGTGATGACAGACAGACAGACAACTGCTGTTGGCAGTTACGTGGTGGCAGCTGACTGATGCATCCTTTCCTCTCCAAACTAAGGCATTAGCTTGGGGCTTGCATGACTTCGTGATTCGCCTCCTGTCCTCCTCCAGTGGAGCAGGAGGGTACCCACCTCATGGTCACAGTGTTGCTCTTCCCTTAAGGCTTTGCCGCTTAAGGCCCTAACTGTGAGAACTGAAGATAGAGGAACTGAAGGTTCTGCTTCATTTCAATGTCCAAAAAGTACTCTTTCCAAGCATACCATGGACCAAGAGAAAGTGTAGTCTTGGAAAGATATAATCTCTGGAGAGGACTGCTGTTAAAATTCTCATTTCTCATCACTGATGAGACACTTCCTCTCTAACCAACACTGGGAGGAAGACAACAAACTCAAAACACAATTATTCTCCTGTCCATTAGCATGAACAGAACAGGAAGAAAAGTCAAACTCATTTCCATCTCTAGCTAAGTTGGCATCTTCCACCTGCATATTTTCTAGTTTTAAATGATGCAAGAAGTTAAGTTACTCCATGTTTCTAAGGATACTCAACAGCTAAAAATCCCAAACCCAAACAAAAAGCAGACATGAGAATGCTACAAAGGATACAAGGCTTATGTTTACCTCTTTATCCTAACACCAGCCCTTGTGGTAACCTAAACAATACCTCTTTCCAATACCAGCTCTTATTCAGACAATTCCTTTGGCAATTGTTCCCCACACTGAACTAAAGGCAGCCGTGTTAGTATTTCTACATCGGTCTCTTTGGACCCTTAACTCGGACTACAGCTGTCACTTATAACACTTTCAAGGCTTGGATTTTCTGGCTTCCCTGTTAGGAGACGTTTTCCTGAGATTTGCCACTAGGCCAAACCAACAGTCTCACACAAACCAAGACATTTTTACAGAACCTCCCCACGTTAAGAAAGAAGCGAGTAACGGTGCAGCCAAAACTGCTCAGTGGCAAGTGATGGAACGGATGCAACGCAACAAAACCCAAGCTCCTGATGTTTCACTTAACCAACCAACCCACCGACTCTTCTTCCAACTCATATTGCTGTTTGCTCCAAGAACTGGTTCTGTTGGCCAGTTATCATTAAAACCATGGCAGTAACTGGTTCTTAATAAACTAAGAGGTTCCAAAAAACTCTATCAGAGGATTTTTTTTTTTTATTTTTACCTCTTGTTTGAATTCAACAGTCTCACTACCATCTTCTTCTTTTGTTTTCACCAAGGACATCTTGACCCAAGTTCGAAAGCCTCCAGAAAACTTCCAGCTGGAATATGAACTTTCACAGTCCTTCATGAATTCTGCTTTTTCTGGACTAAAGGAAAAAGACCGTCACATTACTGACCAAACTCAGAGCAGTATCTGAGCGCTGTAGGCAGGAGAATGTCAGACCTGCAGGCACTTCAAAAAGTGTTCACAATTCCTTTTATGTTTCAACTGCTAAAATTCAGCATATCTAAAATCTTGTTCGTAGTGATGTTTTAATTAATTGTAGCACTTGCATTCATGTGTTCTTAACTGCAGAAGACTTACCTGGTGCCCTACCACCCTAGAGTTCTGCCTGCCCCTAGGGATTGTTCTGCCTTATAGAGGAGCTTCGTTCTGCTCATGTCATCTCTGGGACAGAAAGGAGCAGAGCCAGGACCCCAGGAAACAACTCGCCACAATGCTAGGAAGCAAGAGGTGGAAGGAACAGCCTAGAGGCAGGGCAGGGTGCTTCACCCCATTTCTAGGATGCAAGTAAGTTGGTTGCAATGTATACATACTTAAAATGCTTTGAAATTTACATTTAGTGTATTCCTATTATTTTGGGAACACTATACCTTTGGTGTAAGGCTCCCATCTGCAACAACATGGCTGTTTTCCCAATATGCAATCAGAGATATTTGTAGCCCCAAACAGCAGGACTGCTTTGTGTCTTTTTTAATACTGTGACTGTAAGCCATTTTGAGGCTTCCAATAGCCCTCATGCCACAAGTGGTAAAGAGGCAGCTCCAAGGCATACCTGGTCTCCATCCTCTCTCTACTAACTGCACAGGACACAGTGTACTAACTACGCTCTTTACTTGCAACTCCTCAGTAGTGTTATTTTAGCCACTTTCACGTCATCTCCATGAAATAAGCCTGGTCCTGCAGCTGGTTTCTCAGCACGGTTTCATTTGAGATGAAGGGGTAAACCACTGTGATGAGTCACGAATTGTTAAAGCACAGACCGCTGATTTTTACTGAAGACAGATTTCAGGTTGCAGAGATATGTCAGGTTGCGCTGGGCCTGGAGACAAGGGAAAGGGTTTTGACTCGGGTTAAATCCATCTTCCCAGATGAAGGGAAGGAGTGTACTTCGCTCACACCAGAAGGGTGTGCATGGCTAGGTCTATTGGGAGACTAAAGTGTTTTGGTCTTTAAAAGGAAGGTGCAAAGAAGCGAGGAAAAAAAGCAGAGCTGAAGAAGCAAGCTCTTGTCCTAGAGAACAGACCAATCAGGAAGATTTCTCCTATACCAGCATCGGGTCCATTTGCACTTTTCCTGTCTTTTTCCTTAGTTTTTAGAACTGGGGCTCCTTCCTGCAAACCAAGATGTCTTGTCTACAAGGCAGCAAGAGCACAGACTGATAAAAAGAGTATCATACTGATGGCTACTCTGTACTACGCTGCCTGCTCGGGCTTAACAGATGAATACGCACACGTTTGCAGGAAAGCAAAACCTGGAAAAGCCATTGCTCTCAAGTCAGGGCTTCAGGTGATGGGCTCAAACACAGAACTCCGTTGTGCATACAAACAGAAAGGAGAAGCGCTTCTGGAAAGAAAAACTAATACGCTTTGCTACCCATCAAGACAAATGATATTCCAAGAGCATTTTAGCATATTAGGAACATCTTGATGGATTTGTGACATTAGCTGCTAGTTTAGTGAGCCTAACAGGATGGCAGTGCACCTCTCTAACCCTCACAAGGAAGACATGAGCAAAGCATCAGGACACAGCCCACTGCTTGACTACCCCTCACCATACAAACCAACGACACAGGGAGACTTAATCTGAAAATTATTTCTTCCTCCTTTGGTAAATGGGTACAGCAGCAGCTGATGGGACAGTACGGAAGAGGACGGTGCTCTGCCACTAAGAGGAACATACATTAATTAGCACTCTGCCAGCCAGTCATATGCCTGATGCATGACTAAATACAGCATCCTAGAAAAACTTTCCAAACCAACATGGAAAATTGAGGCAGGAAGTTATGACAGAGCTGAACGTTACAGCCACAACTTACATGGTAAGCAGACAGCAGTAGTATACTTCGCCTTCAACAGTAATTGTAGGCTTGAAAAAGATTAATAGTACCTTAGGAGAAGTGATCAGAGAAGGCATCTCCTTGCATGTGCCCATAATCCAGACCACTGTCACAAAGTCAGGGGAAAAAAAAGGAGGAGTGGGATGGGGGGTGGAGCAGAGTAGAGAGGCACAAGCTTTGCACAAACGATAGCAGAGGGCAAATAACGCAGCTTAAAAACCACATGCAACTAAGCGAACACAAGACAGGCGAGGGATTTGAGTGTGAAGAACAATTCTCCAGGCAGACAGTTTCTTTTAATTCCCTTTTCACCTCAAAGACAGACAACCTGCAAAGGCTGCACTTCCCCCTCCCCCACAGTAAGTTCTTCTACCTATTACGCTGTCCTTTAGATGTCTAAGTCTCTTGGAATACTCTGCACCAGGCTCTCCCAAGATATTAATGGTACCTCAGACCATGCAAAAATTCCTACATCACAGCAAAGAAACAGAAGTGCAAGAGGCCACCGTCTCGCTCAGGTGAACTACAAAGCCCTGGTCTCCCCTTGGTCCATGCTCTCTGGTAACACTGAAGTTCAAACGACTAAAAGGGAGCCCATTGCCTCAGCACAGACTGATCAATCAGACCATGAAAGATTGTATTTGTCCCAGCTGTGGGAGTTGCTAACCTAATGCTGGACTGGGCTCTAGCTCTGCAGTGGATCCTTCTAACCCCAACCTCCACGGACCAACTCACAAGAGCCAGAGGCAGCTTAGGACGTCCCACCAGCAGATTCCAATGCAACAGCAACACCACAGATGGGTCAAAGCCAATTTGTGTGTATTGCTTTTGCTTTCCCCTAGACTGGGAAACTCTTGACAGCCATGGGATCTAACAAAGGGTCAGATGGCATATGGTACCAAAAGTCTCGACCCTTCTGTGTTATAATTTATTTCTGTGCATGCAGCAATCCAGACCAGAGATGTGAACATGGAGCTCTGTTTAGACCCTTAAATAATCTCTGACCTGTTCAGACTGGTATTCATTATCCCACATGACTGTAAGTTATTTTACATGCTACGCTAACAATAGTTTGTCCGTAACATGTTCAGAGGATTTTCTTCTTTTTCTTAAACCCGTGTATTATACTAATGACAGATCAGGAAAGGAACTTGTGTTTTTAGCTACACTGTTTCGGTAATTTGCAAGGGTTTCATTATTTCCTTCCCTCCAATTAATATGGTACAGACAGCAGCTGCCACTGTCTTAAAAAAAAAAAAAATAAGAAAAAAGCCAGTGGCAGTATCCCTCCAACTCACGGGCCGACAATGGCACACAGTGCAGCAGTGTTCTGTGAGGGCCAGAACAAGACCGGCAAGCAGTGCCAGTTTTACGCAGCCTGTCGATCCCATTTTAACAGAAGAGCTGCAGAGAATAAAACCCTTGATGGAAACAACCGGGCCCTACTTGAGTCCTCACCACGTGCTGTGCCTCAAAACCCCCTTAAAGATACAAGTCTCTAGGTGCCATTTTTATCACTGCTGATGGCTGATGCTCGCAGCAGCCCTCGCTGATATGATTATTGCTCAGGTTTATGATGGATGACATCCAGCTGTGCAAAGACATTATGAACCTTAAGAAAGAGCTACAGAGTTTGGTAGCAATCCCAGAAAACGAAAAAACAAAGATGGAGAAAAAAAGAGAGGATGAACTGATTCAGGGACAAAAAAGAGATTTTCTTCTTGATGATGCAGAGGTGGAGAGATTACGAGAGAAAGAAGAAGACAGAGATGGCTGAATTCCTTCGCACCAAGTTAAAACCTTTAGACAAAGCAGCACAATCTCCTATCAGCAGTCCAGCAGAAAAGAAGGCAGAACCTCCTCCAAGCAAGCCCACCATTGCCAAAGCAGGATTGGCTATTATTAAAGATTGTTGTGGGGCCACACAATGCAACATCATGTAGCTCTGGGCGCTCTACCATGTTTGTCTTTTCAAATGTTTTCACTGAATGAAACTGTAGGGTGAGGGGAACTAACAGCATCCTGCTAATGGAATCAAGAGCAACTGGTACAACAGTAATATTTAAAGCGAAAGTGAGTTGTGCATAATACTGTCTACACAGAAACCGTGGTGCAGACACAGCAGGACTCTTCTCACCGTTTCAGTGGGTTTTGGATTGTGATTTTAGATCATAGAATCATAGAATGGTTAGGGCTGGAAGGGACCTTCAAAAGTCATCTAGTCCAACCCCTCTGCAAGGAACAGGGATATCTCCAACTAGATCAGGTTGCTCAGGGCCTCGTCCAACCTGGCCTTGAACGTCTCCAGGGATGGAGCATCCACCACCTCTCTGGGCAACCTGTTCCAGTGTTCTACAACTCTCATGGTAAAAAAATTTTTTCCTAATATCCAATCTGAATCTACCTCCCTCTATTTTAAAACCATTACCCCTTGTCCTATCACAACAGGCCCTCCTGAACAGCCTCTCCCCATCTTTCCTGTAGGCCCCCTTGAGGTACTGGAAGGCCGCTATAAGGTCACCCCGGAGCCTTCTCTTCTCCAGGCTGAACAGCCCCAACTCTCTCAGCCTGTCTTCATAACAGAGGTGCTCCAGCCCTCTGATCATCTTCGTGGCCCTCCTCTGGACCCGCTCCACCAGCTCCATGTCCTTCTTGTGTTGGAGACTCCAGAGCTGAATGCAGTATTCCAGGCGGGGTCTCAGGAGAGCAGAGTAGAAGGGCAGAATCACCTCCCTCGACCTGCTGGCCACACTTCTTTGGATGCAGCCCAGGATATGGTTAAAACATGGTTAGATGCCACGAAGTAGGTGGCAGTGCCTTAACCATATGCGTGTTGTACAGGCCACTGGGGCCTCTTCCATCCTTATCAAGGGGAGTGCTAACCTTCTCTCCTTTCATCCGCCGATGAACCAGAAATCATTTCTATTTTCTCTTCTGCTGGAAGTTGGGCAGAACAAGTACATTCCACATATACACACGGTTTCACATGCACTTCATCATCCGGAGAAAACGTAAACTTTCCACCTGCCCTGAGCCTGTCCAGTTCATGCCCCAGGACAGCGACACACGATACTGAGCAAGACAAGCCATACAATTTGTACCAAGCTTTGGAGGATGCTACGAAGGAGACACTACTGGCCTCTTGCACACAACTGGTTCTCTTACTGTATTTCACCTAGACATGCGCATCGTTTATTACTAAGTTTAAAGGCCTACCTACCTGTGCCAATTTTACCATTATCTGGGTTAGTTCAAAACCAGTTTTAGCTCGCATTCCTACGACCTGCTGCAAACAGGCACAAAGGATGCATCCCCAAACAGGCACCACCGTTTCCTACCTTTTCACTTCATTCCAAACACAACCCAGGCTCAGCCTTCACTCTCCCGGCTCCAGTTCTGGTGCCTTCCCCCACCGAGACAAGGCAGCTTCTCTAGGAACAAAGCGATGCTCCCCCATCTCTTCAGGGACTCATTCTGCCATCTAACCAGTTTGACCTGGCAAACCTGGAGGTAGAAGGTTGTGATCCAGGTTTCTCCCAGGCAGCTTACAGATGATTCGTACCTGCACTGGCACGAACACTGCCTTGAAGCTAGGGCCTTTGCACTACTGCTTATTGCTGGTTTGCACATCTAACCTGCCTTTGCACAACACGTGGCACAAGCGTTTGGGACAGCAGCACGCAGACTTGCAGCTTGCTTGCAGAAACACTGCCAGCTTAAGTAGAATATACATGTTTTAACTCGGGAAGAAACAGCTCTTTAAAATGGTGTTATCTGCAAATTGATACAATGAGCACAGGAACGTGGCTTCCAAGACTTGAGTATGCATAGATCAAGTTGTGTCTTGGTAGGTCAGTTCATTCGGCAAAGAGCCAGGAACCAGATGCAACACAACTGTGCCTTCTGCTCTGTGTTTCACAAAGGGTGGTCTCAGACGGCGCTTGTGTCTTGCAGTGTAGAAACAGCTGTGCACCTTGCTGGAATCGGTCCCACTGCACATACCACTAACCGTGACAAGAGCCACGAAAAGTGAGAAAAAACAACACAGAAGGAACAAGTAGCACCACCTATGTCACTACTCCTAACTGATATTTTCTCACCCTAAAATATCAATGCCTAAAATACCTAGAACATTAGCATTTTATGAGGTGTTTTAGTACAGTTACAGAAAGTACTTAGTGACTTAAGAGCTCTCCTTCACTGAAGTAGAAATGCTTTGTAAAAAGCAAATTCAGGTAATTGGTCTTTGGCCACCTAGAGATACTGTGACTAAACACTTGCAGTCTTTGCTCCATCTGAAAAGCACCAGTATTATTGCGTCCAAGCCTCAAGAATGTTTTGTTACAATAAAATCTGTTTTCTCTTCCCCTCCCTCACCTAATTTTGTTCTGCATATGGCCTTTATCCCCATCCCTTTTTCACTGAGCATCTGACTATTGCCAAATTAAGGCTTTCTATTAGGTCTCACTCTGACTAATCTCTCTTGACTAGCTTTTAATCTGGATCACAGAGAGAAGAACAGAAATTTAATTTAAATTAAAGCAAAAATTAAACTCTTATTTATGGAATTTATTCTCACAAGGTAGGAAAAAGGGTGGGGCTTTCAAGAAAGTTCAAGACAGGATTAATTCCACTCCTGTTAAAATTCAAAGAAGGTTCAGTGTCGTGGTTTAGGCCACTCCGGCAATTAAACTCCACACAGCCGCTCGCTCAACTTCCCCCACCCCCCGGGGATGAGGAAGGGAATTAAAGGAGAAAAGGAAAAGAGACCCGTGGGTTGAGATACGAACAATTTACTACTACTGCTACTAATATATATATATACAGAGATGTACAATGATAAATACATATAAACGAGTGATGTACAGTGTAATTGCTCACCACCCCTTGACTGAGGCCCGTCTCGTCCCGAACTAACAATCCCGAAACCGATAAGTCCCGACACCACAATCACGGACAAGCGAGAGGCCCGAAAATAAAGAGCGAGACAGAGGGAGCACTCCGAGAGTCCGAAAGTGAGAGTCCTGGAAAAGCAAAAGCCACCTCTTGCCGGCTGACCCCCACTTTTGCACTGGGCATGACGCTGCATGATATGGAATACTAATTGACCAGTTTGGCCTCAATCCTAAATCCAAGTACAAATCATAAGGAGAGTCGTGGACCCCCCTGTCCTGGCCATGCTCCCCCCTATCCTGTTGTGCTCCTGCACACTGGCAAGAACATGGCAGCTGGAAAGTCCTTGAGACCTCAGTGCCAACTATAAACATCAGTGCGCTGTCCGCGTTCTTCTCAGAGCAAGTCTCAGACTGAAACCAAAACATGGAGCTCTTCCAGCTGCTAAAAAGAAGAGCTACCTCTGTCCCAGCTAAAAGCAGGACAGTCACTCCAATGGCACCAATGTCAAACCAATACAAAGCAATTTTGAATACTCCACATATGAAATTACATCATTCTGTGGAATCTTACATAAAGCTAGTAACACAAAGAAATACTGTTAATCTTTCTCAAAACAAATCAATCTAAGGATCTGATCTTTACAGTAATTGCTTTTAAAAAGAAAAACAGTGTTCTCAGTGCACTTCCTGAGCACGCTGCCCAGGACAGCACACTTCCTGATCACCCACAGCAGCAGACAGCAGTAAGTCAGCACAAACATCAAACTTTTAGAAAATGCAGCAACAAATGGCTGAAGCATAGCTGAAGGGCGGTTTTTGTCACTGAAAAAGTCCTCAATTCATTTTCTAAATAGTAAGATTAGTTAACCTAAGACATTAACATCAACATAACTCAAACATTAAAAAAAATAAAAATGCCTGTCTGATTTTTACTAAAAAAAGCCCTGCTTTCATTAGTATTGTTATAGCAAGTTCAATGCAGTTACAGGCTCATCCCTTTACATACCTGTCGATGAACTCCTGGAAAGAAGAAAACAGAAGGTAGTCAATGGCACTAAAATCTTGGTCTGTTCCATTTAAATGAAACTGCAAAAACACCAGTTCCTTTTTCTTCACATCACGAGGGCCTTGAACAACCAAAGCATACTTCTGTAAGCAAACAGAGAGATAGTGAGAATAGCAAAGCAATCCTCATTTCCTGCTCATCATGAATTTGCCATCTGTCACTAATACTCTATAGAAACAGAAACCTAATACACACTGACATTTTCTTGGCCACTACTAAGTATACGTCTATTAAAACATTTAACAAGAATGCCAACTGAATCCCTCCTCTTAGTTTAAAAATTAAGTCTTTATGTCAAGATGTAGTGTTCCTCTAAGAAATCTGCTTTAGTTCTACCATAGTCCTTTGGGTTCATGCAGAATTACCAGTCAAGGCGCTGCAAACTGCATTCTGAAGAAAGACAATCAAAACTGTTTTGAGCATTAAAGTCTAGGAACTTTCAGCTCTTGACATGAAACAAGTTAACGTGGAGTCTGATGTGGAGAACATCAGGCTTCTCCTTGAGAAAGAGCAACAGTTTCACAGCCCCCAGCACCTCAAGCAAGCTGCTGAAAGGAAAAAAAAAAAAAAAAGAAAAAAACACAACAAAAACCACTAGCAGGTAGAATACAACTTAAAGTAGTGCGGGCATTATATTGAACAGCAAGCTGCTGCTTGCAAACTCAGGCAATGTGAACAGGGCTCTACATGGTTCAGAGGTCTCTGTCTCAGTGCCTCTCCATTCCACTGCAAGACTAGAGCCTATCTGGATCAGCAAGCTTCTAAGCGAATCTACCACGCAGCATAAAATGCAGGTTCTTAGTTTGCTAAAACACACAAAAAGAGCATAGTAGTGGCAGAAATTGCGCCGGAAATTGCGCCTAGAATATTACATTCAAATATACCAAGGAGCTGCTTCCCAGAAAGAAATAGTGACTAGATGAAAGGCAAAACATGAAGAGGAAAAAAGCTGACCAAATAGGTACCTGGATAGTTAGTTTGTTCATGTTTAGTTTCCTTAAAAACAATCTGAGCAACCACTTTAGATACAAATGACCGTATCTAATACTTTATTTTTTGAACAGTTATTTATGCAGACGCTAGATTCCCTGCATTTTTAAGGGCAATTTAAGACAATCACTCAATGTGCCCATCTTATTGGCTCACAGCATTTCAGTGTAATGAAATGCGTGGAAAAATCTTAACTGGGCACCAAGTATGACAAAATAGTACCTAATCCGCAGCAAACATACAAAAAGAGGTAACCTATCCTGCTTTAGTGGAGTAACTTCTGCTGCTTTCAATCTAGATTGAAATCTAGATTTTCAGATTTGAATCTGATTCAAAGCTAGATTTACCACATCAAGGAGTACGCTTGCCAGTTCATTTAAGAGAGGAATGAAGTGAGAGTTGCATTGTGAAAAATGACTTATTTTGTCTCATTCAGGTTTTCATGCTGCACACACCCACATGACAGCTGATCTTCCGTAACACACATACACACTGACTGACTGTCTTTCTCATTTCTGAAAAGAAAAGGACAGATGGCCTGAAAAATACTAGAAGCAAGGATTTTTGCAGCACTTAGTATTACTTTCAAATACTACTACGAGCAGAAAACCCCGCACTGAATAAGCTTTGCTCTACTGTATTATTATTATTACCATAGTTTGATTAGTAAAAGGATCTGTGTAGTTGATTCTCTGAGTGGTGCATTCAATGTCTCCTGGCTGACCTGGATTTATGAGAGGTGGAATGTGATCATAGTAATGATGCTTGCAGCTAAGCAGCCGAGCCTTGCCTGGGTAAAAGGCAATACCTGTTTCGGGAGAAAAAAAACATTGGAGAGAGATGATTTCTTTTCCAAGTACATAGATTTTCATTTTGGGATTTAATCCCGCAGGATACTGAGCTATCCTCAAGATCCAGCAAAACAATCAAATTAAACCATGTGCTTCAGCGTTTTTCTGGAGCAGGACAGAAGTGCCAGCTGCATCAGGACAGGACCCTTGCCATGCACTGAAAAAGTCAGGGTTCATGTTCTGTTACAACAATTCGAGGTTCACAGAAGCTACTAAGTTTCCCTGGTCTCCCGACAAGCCAGCAGCTCCTACATCAGTCCCTCTCACTCCAAGAGAAATGAATGCGTAAAGTACATTAGTAGACTACTGAAGTCAAATGGGACACATAGCATTTCAGCACGTACATGTTTTCAGGTATTATCATTTAACATGTTAAATTTTAATTGAAAATAACGTACGTACTATAGATGAAAGATCAAAGACCATTCATCTAATAAAAGTGCAAAGATGCTCTTCAGAACATCTAGAATCTTCTGTTCATTGAATACAGCGTCAGGATAAAACTCAACGCCATCAAACAAGTACAAACTGTTACTATCCCTTATTACTTACATCATTGGGTAGGCAGGCTACTACTTCACCTGTGTGGAAATTCATACATACCATAAACCTATTCATTTCAGACCAACAACATGCATTAAAAGAACCTCAGTCACCTCAGCTGTAGAAGGCTAGCAAAACACAAGGCCCAAAACCAACAATCCTGTTTATGCCACACATTCCACATTTGTTATTGGAAACAAGCTTGCTTGAAGATAATCTAGACCAACTACTAAGGAAAAGTACGATTTGAGTTACTGGATACAATTAACTCACACAACTGAGATGACCTGTCTGCCAAAACATGAGACGTCAAAGCAGTCCGCATATACCCGTCTAAAAACATTGTCTCTCTTTCTTCAGTGGTCCACGCTTGCAACATGCCATCTCATCACTTTAGCAGAGCAGTGAAGTAAAGGGCCACATTAATTTAGGTTCTCTAAGCTGGCAAGGATTGCTGACGATACTTTTGGATTTATATGTATGTTGCTCTGTTCATGTATGAAAAGCTCATATGTGGGGGAAAAAAAAAAAAAAAAAAAAATGGGAAAAGCCTGCTCTTACAGTCAAATCCATATGGCCCAACTGCAAGGACCTACTTACAGAGTTCAGCCTAGCTGACCATATAGAAAAACAACCACAGGAATACAGCAACAACCTGAAACACTCACCTTTCAGCCACAATTACGGGAGTGGTTATTTGTAAAATGTGGAAACACTTCAAACAAAAGTGTTATTTTTAAATTGGAAGCTGACCTATGACTGTTTGAGCTGCAGTTGCTACCACAGCTCTATTTATGAATGGTTAGTGGATAATTAAAAAAAAATAATAATGATAGAACTCACTATTCAAAAATGCTTCTGTGGCGTAATCCCTCCTGCAAACTGCAACACAGTTTTCTGATGACATGCTGCATTTTTATGCCAACATTGTTCCCTGCAGTCACATCACATGTTCATCACCTACTGATGCAACACCAAGTTGTAAACAATGCAGAACAGAAGCAGAAAGTGGCACTGTGGTTATTTTGTGGTTGAAAAATTCTCCTTCTTTACTGCCAACAACATCTCACTGTCCAGTGCGGCACTGAGGTCCTGATGCACATCCTATGTGCTACCCTTTTAGAATTATACAGTTTTGGGAATATTCCCATAAGGAATTATCATTTTTCCCCCCGAAAGAGGACTCATTCTAGAGTATGAAAACATTTCTTAGCTATCAAATGTTGCATAATGCTCCACAGCTACTGTCATTCATGTTATTGGCATGAAAGCTCTCAAAATATCCCATACAACATTAATATTTCTGTGCAAAGTCAACACAAGATAGATTAGGAGGAAGTGAAAGACCTAGGTCAAAGCATTCTACTTTCTCTGGCCCCTGGAGAATCAACACCAAAAATTTTAAAAAATCCAAGATAAACATGAACAACAACTTAACCCATTTTGTTTGTTACAGGTCTTACCAGGTGCGTCGTACAAGGACACTTCCTTGTAAGAGACGGACATCACTGGGTGCTTGAGCTTCTCCCTGAAGTCACTGATGGTTTGGTAGACAAGGAACACAGCTACAGCCATGAGCAGCAGATAAATAAACAGGAGAATTACTGAAAAAACATTCTTTAGGCAGGTCTTGCTGAAACGCAAAGAAGGGGCAGTGGTACCCAGTTCACTATCTGGAACCAAACAGAACATGGATTAGGACTTTAAAATACAGATATTTGGGCTGAATTTATGTAGTATTCATTTAAGGATCAATCACTTGATAAGAAAGTAAGCCTCAAACTCAGCTTGATTTAAAAAAGCCACAACTATTGCTGGTTTTGATGATCAGTCAAGACAGATGCTTCCTTCTCAAGCATGAAGCATAATCATCCAAAGATTGTGCCTCTTTCACATGCTGAATTTGGCACTCAGCTTAAGGACATGGCAGGCAGGAAATAAGGTTCACTTCCAAGAAGGACAACTCAGAAACAAAGTTCAAAGTTCATAAGAAAAAAAAAAAGTCTGCTGATGGTCAATTTTTCCTCCTGGAAAAAACAACTCCCTTCCCCCCTCCCAGTCTGAAGTGACTTTTATACACTCAGCATATGTATAAGCAGAAAGATGTAATATTCTAATGCTCTTAAACAGATATCTGCATTGCACCTCCACCACGCTAGAAGTCCCTAGATATTTGTTACCCTCTCATTTTTAGACTACTTCATAACTCCTTGTGCATACTACATAACGTTTCACAAAAGGATTCTTCCAATCACAGCTAGAAAAAGACCCAACTCTCACAGTCTCCTTGCTTTCCAAGCTTACTCTCTGAAGTTCTTCACACTTAGTCTCACTTGTGCTCAGACGTTGCTTTCCCCACACTCCTTGCGTTCACCATTTATTTTGGCAACACTTGTAAGAAAAAAAGTTCACGTGCTCTTGAGTTACACGTCATGCTTTGATGATGAGCGATACATAGCTGAACACGCAAGAGGAGCGCTAAACCCATCACACGAGAGGAGATAAGCAGGCGTATTGTACGCCGGCGTCTCTGCCTGGTGTAACGTAACGAGTCGGGCCCTCTCAGGCCATGCCACACTCTGCCCTTCAACTATATTAGCACAGTTTGATGCTTGCTCCTTACCACGGCAAACACCAGCCTTTTAGTAAATCCTATTGAACACATAACCTCTTGTAAGTCCACGTCACACATGTGCTGCCAAGTTCACTGCCAGGAGATGGCAGCCAAGGAAATTAGGACATTAATATGTATAAAGTTGCACTATTGAAACAAGTATGTCTTGACAGCTGCAAAGCATTTAGGGGATACTCACTTCAGGTTGGCTTACCCTAATGCCGACATCTGAGCTGCAATAAGCCCATTTAACACTGCCCCACACCCTCCAACAGCAGGTCCAAACAGTCTAATTAAAATCTGTTGAAAAGCACACCTGTTCAATATTGCACCTTGCTCGTGTAAATGTGGCACAGACTTTGCTCGCCATCCACTGCCATCACAGACTCTGCAGCTCAGGTAAGATGCAGCGTAAAGGGAAATTACATACTAAGCCATCTCAGAACCAGACGTGCTGAATCTTCTTTGAGCACAGTTCATGACAAAGACATGTTCTCACCTCAATCCTTGGAAAAACTCCTTGGCTTTCCTTCAGCATTTATTCCCCAAAATAAGTAACTTAGTGTTTTGTTTACTTTCAGAAGTGCAATAAAAAACAAACAACTAAACCCACACAAAGAAGCCACTCCTCAGACACATAAAATTAGTAATTTCTGTGTCAATAGTTCTCACCTGGTAAAATAACAGAGCTGGCATCTTCATGAACTTCCATCTCTCCTTCTCTCTCATCTGTTGGGTTTTCAGACACTCGCTCCACATCTTCACTCAGCTGTGTAGTTAAAACAGTGGTTCAATTTCCAAACATGCTCTCAACTTGCAATTGCTGGAATTTCTATGGTACAAATAAAAGAGGCTCCAACTAACCAAACACACAAAAACATGCCCCCAGTCCAAGAGCACCCAGCATCTGTTCCACTTGTTCACAAGAGCAGCATTTATGTAGACCTAGAGCTAAAAATTAAGTGACTTGCATGCTGCAAAAAGAGAAAGACAGCACATTAAATTTAACCTACTTCTACTCTGCTGCTTCAACAATAACATCACCTTTTCTTTCAAGATCAAAGGAATTGTTTCCCTAGCAGCTTCAGCTCACTTTAAACCCCCAATTAGGG